AAATGCAAAAAGAAAACATAGCACTACCAAGTAAACGAATTTATCTTGGCTAGTCTTATTTAAAGTTTTGCTCAGTGAATTTCTCTAGACCTCCATCAGGCTGACTTTTGTTTTGAGTTTATTTTACTATATGGGATTATATGGCTCAATCCCAAGTAATGGGATGTATTAATGGAGCACCTCTACAGTTACACTGGGATTGATTTTGCCATTAGTGGGCTTCATTTCATCACAAATGAAATCTTTGCTGTTGGAAACAAATGAAATAACTTATAAAGGAAACAGTATGAGCTAGAAAAAAAGCCTGCCTGCTCTGAAGCAGGAAAGATTTGACCTAGGTCCAGCTCTGCAAATGACCCAAATAGGTCACTGAAAACAAGTCATCTCTTTGTTGTCCACCTTCCGGCAGGCATAGAATGGCGAGTATGTTTTCATTTGATTGATATTTTTGAGCACAAGGCTTCTCTTGTCCCCTCATCCGAGGTCTGCACATGCGAGGGCCATGTTAATGTGCGTTTCCCAGATCAGTGCCCTCAACTCACAAATCTCCCAGCACAACAACTAGAAGTCATCTCATCCAGGCTACTCCTGAGTTTCTGGGAAACCAAGGAAAAAATGAGTTCCCTTTATTTGCCTGAAGTTTGTTCCACTACAATGTCAGGAAACTGGCTGAGGTCTCCAAAATTTAAACAAGTACCACTAACCCCCTTCAGATAAACAGAAATGCAACTCTATGTAAATATTCACTAAGAATATTTTACAGCACACTGAAATTAGTGGCTAAAGATGATGAAAGCCAAGAAAGTAATCTGCTCAGATGTTGCACTGAAATTGTCTCTAAATTAATTCCTTAAGTCCAAACCAGAATCTCAAACACTGGTCTCTTATTACAAAGGCACTCTATGCTATGAGTGCCTTCAACAAATGCCATCTAAAGCTGCCTTGCACAAAACCTGTACATCCCAGATTCCAGCCCTGCACCCCCACCCATTAAGTTGTAAACGAATTTTATTTGCTGAACAAATGTTAATGCCATTCTACGTTAATGGATAATGCTATGAAAAGCACCTAAGTATTACAGCACTGGAACCTTTAAGGATGAAATAGAGTGCAACTTAGAAAACTGCCTGTTACAAACATATGTCACCATGAAGGCTTCTAGCCCTGATCATCCATCCTCACAGAACTCTGTTCTAATTTCTCCCTCAGTGAAGAGAATTTTGCAATAACACACAGATTTATTGGGTCCCAGGATTAAAACTCTCTGAGTAAGAATAAAAAATAATTATATGTTAGAACACAATGTAATATTCAAATGACTTGAAAACAGTCACCTCAGCAAAAATAAGGAGGAGAGAGGAAGAAGTTCAAGATGAGGTTGATAGCACAGGCTATAAAACCTCTGAATTTAACTGCATAAATGCATGATCTGGCACTTCCAAACCATAAACAGGTAGAAATGGGAAAACTCCCATTCACAACAAATTGCCTGAGTAGTTTCATTAGTAAGCCAGGGGGACTTCTTCATCTAATAAGTCAGCATAGTAGTTAAGAGATAGGTTACCCTGTAAGGCGTGAGCTCTACTACTTCCTATGTGTGTGACCTTGGGCAAATTGCATTTAACTTCTCCTCATCCATGTCCTCATCTGTAAAATGGGAATGTTACCAATGCCTACCTCCTGAGGCAGCTGCGATGGTTAAATCACAGCTTAGAACTGTGCCTCAAACACAATGAATGCTCAGTAAACGTCAGCTCTTCATCACTTAGTGGTTGCTCCTGTATGCAGGATGTATTACAATTGGAAAGGGAGAGGAAGGGAAGTGATTACCTTTCCTCCCAAGAAGTCTCTAAACTCACCGACTACATTTTCTGTCTTCTCTAGTTGGGCTTCTGCCCCCTCCACTTCGTGGAAACAGCACTCACAAAAGTCCCCAGCAACGTTTCTGTGGTCTGATCCATTGGGTGGTTTTAGATCCTCATCTTTCTTGTCCTCTCAGAAACTCTCAACACCACTGAGCTTGAATCTTATTCCTTGGATTCCATGACTTTTCACTGTCATAATTTTCCCTCCACTTTTCTGGTCAATCTCTCTCACTTCCATTTCCCAGCAACTCTTCCTTCCCTGAGTCTCTAAAAGTCACAATTCCGATTTTTACTGTTCGTTGGTCTCTAGTCTCTCTCCAGAAAAAGTTACCCATTTCTATGGTGTTATTACAAATGACATACTAATTAATCCAGAATGTTGGTCTAACACCTCAGAACTCTGCTCTAACCTCCTGACCTCCAATATGTTATGCTATGTTCTCTATGTTTAGTTGAATGTTCCAAAGGTACATCAAACTCACCATGTCTAAAAATGAAATTATGATTTCCTCCCTCCCCGCAAACTGTGATCTCCCCTAATGTTTCCCATGGCCGTAAGCACGCCACCAAGCATCTCTCATCCGGATTCCCGCCAACAGCCTTCCGCTCTCTCTTGCTTCTCCTTTTCCCAGTGGATCCTCTCTCCATAGCAGCCAGAGTGGTGCATTTAAACTGCTAATGTGATCACATCACTCTGCTCAAATGCTCAGCTCATCTGCGTCTTATAGGAGCTCTGACCTGGCTCCTTTTGCCTCTCCTGCTTAGCTTTATCTACTCATCAACCACTCTGGCTTTCTCTGTCCTTGAGGCCACAGTCTCAGAGGAAGGCTGGTGTGTGACAGATACAAAACATATACCATGGGCGGTAACTGAGGAGTCCTGTGCTTGTGTTTGGAGGGTAAGAGGGGTAGGTGACTTTGGAGAATGACTGATGTCAGGAAACACTGGGAATACTAACATGTCCCCTAGGAGCTCCCAAATACCAACTACTATTACTCACACTTTGCATGACAAGTGGAGAGAGTAAAGGCTCCAGGTCAAGTGGATGCTGCTGGTGCCACCATCATCTCTGTTTCCTCCTCATCAATCCCACCACCACCCCTGACTGAGGTTCATGGGTTAGGAAGAGTAGAATTCGGAGCTCGGCTGCCTCCTAATCCAGCCACCATCTCTACTTGCAGACTTCAGTCTTGCATAGGGACACAAATTAGTCATCTGGTGGGTCCATGTTCTCCCTCTGTCTCCCTCTGTTTCAGGCCTCATCTGAAGAGGGTCGTGGCACAGCGGTGGCACTGGCAGTGGGAGGGAGGGAAGGACCGCAGCAAGGGGGCATGAGGTTCTCATCAGTTCTCTTTAGAAAACAATAATTACAAAGCTGTATGAGCTCTTGATTGTGGCAGTCAGTTTTATTTGAATAGAATTTTGCTTTACCTAAACTCTATCCTTTCGGTATGTGAATTACTCAAGTCTTTATTAAAACTTCAAGTCCTGTTTGGAGAATAGAATAGGAAGGTCAAAGGATGGATTTCTTCCATATCCTCAGAAGGGCCAAGAGAGAATAAGTTAGAATTTTTCTACTTTGTGAAACCAAAGAAGGGATTGGTGTGTTCTGGTACTATCCTTTTGCAGACATAAACACCACAACCGATTAAAGGAAGATGGCTTAAAAATGGAGTATGTGGGTCAGGCGCAGTGGGATTCCAGCACTTTGGGAGGCCGAGGCAGGCAGATCACAAGGTCAGGAGATCGAGACCATCCTGGCCAACATGGTAAAACTCTGTCTCTACTCAAAATATATAAAAATTAGCTGGGCGTGGTGGCATGTTCCTGTAATCCCAGCTTCTCAGGCTAGGGCAGAAGAATCACTTCAACCGGGGTCAGAGGTTGCAGTAAGCCAAGACTATGCCACTGCACTCCAGCCTGGCAACAGAGCAAGACTCCATCTCAAAAAAAAAAAAAAAAGGAATATGTGAACTCCAAACATGAAAGTATGTTGAAAGAGAAAAACAGGAAAAGTTATATCAGCATCTCAGGTTAACTGTTCTTTAATCAGAAACAAAGCCCCAGAAGAGAGACAATATGGATACAAAGTAACTATGTATTTTATTTAACATATACGTAAACGCTAGAAATGAAGCTGTCTGTTTTGACAATGGTTTTCTCTATAAATCTCTGCCAGAAAAAAAAATCAATATGAATTCAACAAATCTCACCTCAATTAGTTATTCTGGTTCAACTTGAGACTTAGATTTATTTATAAAATAATGCTTTCCAGAAAGAAAAACATCCTGCTTCTTAAAATAGTTAATGTAAAATTTTAACCCACGTAATTATATTACTGTAGTTCACTAGCAATTAAGAAATAAGTGTGTAGGATGTCCAAAAGACCATATTAATTTTTTTTTTAGAGTGAAATTCTGTACCATCTGGCCTAATTTGTCTTGGTGTTTTGCCCAGTGTAGTATCAGCTTTTTGAGAACTGTAAATTATTAGGTAACTCCCCTGAAAAAATATGAGTGAAGAAAAAATATGGGTTGATAATGAAATCCTGATCATATGTCTGAATATTTGAGAAAACACTGATGTGCACAACAGCCCAATCTAAGTCATTCTGGGCACGAAACTGGTTCAGGGAGGGAACCCACAGTAAACACAGAGGGTGACAGGGAAAATAGCATGTGAAACAATAGGGAAATGCAGGTCCAGATCCTGAGCGTTACCTCTTTGTCAAGTGCTTCTGATTCCAATTAAGTTTACAGGAAAAATAACCAGGCAACCCTTGCCTGACTCAAAAAAAGTGCAGACTATTAAAGGATGCTTTTAAATAGCAGGGTGATAAATGGGGCTTCTAAATGTGAGCACCAGCATATTTTTCATCTCAATTCTGTTCTAATGTCTTCCAGCTGATTACTTTAATAGGGTGTCACCTCAGCCTGTGCAGAGGTGTCCAGAGAGGGTGCAGCTCCTAGATTACTAAAAGAAGCTGTTGTATCAAAAACTTATGTGACCAATCTCAGAAAAGGTAAACATCAGACAACAAAACTATGGGTTCCTTTATCATGGAGCCACAGGTTTCCTTTTTATTTGGAGTCTATGTCCCACAGATTGATAAGACTGTTTAAAGAATAATCTTACCCGGATTATTTCTTCAACACAGCTGTTGTTTTCTCCAGATCTATTCTCCTGAAAGCAAAGGAAAAAAAAAATTAAGCCTGATGGAATAGATTGATGATCACAGAGAAGACATGCAAGCTTCCAAATTAGTGTCCAAAAAAAATTATGAATTGAGTTATAGGTTGAGGAGATGCCTGCTGGGATTGAAGGACAGGTTCCTTTCCCTAACAGCCAGGTCTCATTGTGGGTGCTGCTGCTCCATTCCCAGCTGGAGCACCATACATGTACCCCAGAGGCTCAACTATGGCCTTTCCAACCAGCCCACTTCAAGCGTACAAAATGTGACCAGCAGGTATGAGCTCCAACCACCTTCGGCGCCATTAATGTGTGGAAACCGTGGCCTCTGCTACAACAGTGGATCCAGTTTATCCACCAAATACATGCCACGGGCCTACCAAGTACTACAATGGTTGCTACGGCTTAAGTAAAACTCTGGTAGTTCCACTGTCCTTAGAGCCTAGGTTTACTGGTTTGATAGGGAGTAAACTGAAAGACAAAAAAGAGAAACATCCTTTGGATGTTGGCCTGGCATGTGGGGCGTCATGCTTGAGTCACTTGTTCTGTCACTCACACTGCCCTGAGCTGGGCAGATGTGAAGATGCTCCAAGGTGCAGTGGCTTCAGGTCACAGTTGACTCTGGGGAGCATTTCAAGTTCCAGAGACACGGTGTGGTTCCTGCTGGCTACCCAGCCAAGAGTGCCAGATGTGAGTTTGTGGGAACACAGAAGCAGTGTATGATGGTGAAAGTGCCTACCTGTGGTCTCAGGGAGATCACTTCTTTTGGTCCCACAATTCAAGGATGTCATCCTGAGAGTAGATGTCACTGTGACATCCAGGAATGAGGCTCTTCTCCAAGCCCACTCTCCCTTCCTTCTCACTGTTCTCTCTTGCCAGGAATGCTATCTGCACCTTTCCTGGGAATTAATTTCCTAGTTAATTCCTAGTTAAGTCATCCTTCGGAGAGCAGCTTATCCATGGCTTCCTCAGAGCAGCCACCCCTGACCCTGCAGTGCTTGCCCATAGCAGCCTCCACTTCTTCAGAGCCCTCACCACAACTGCAATTCAATAATTAAGTCTCCAGTAATCTCTTGTCCCTCTAAAACATCAGCTCCCTGGATTTTGGGGCTCCCTGTCTTCCAACACTGTGCTCCACACAACATGGGGCATATGCAATAACTATTGGCTGGTGTTAGGTGTATGAAGAAATGAAGGAGTTTACTTCCTGCAGTTCTGAGTGGCATGAGGCTCATCAGAATCAGCACTAGAACTTTAAAAGCATTACGAAGGCTCCGACTTACCATGCCATCACACTGCCAGCTCATTCCTTGTCCTACAGTAGAGCATTTTCTTTGAAACACTTTATCCTTCACTCAAGTAAAGGGCTAGGGTGAAGGAAGGTAAGTGAGGCTTGAAAAGGTCCCACGCATGATCGAGACCTTCTACCCAGAATTAAGGGATTTACTGAAGTCTCCCACCTCAAGCCCAGAAAGTTTACATTGACTTGCCCAAGGTCATATAGTTACCATATAGTAATCTCTGCTTTAACTTTTTTTTTTTTTTTTTGAGACAGAGTTTCACCCTTGTCACCCAGGCTGGAATGCAATGGCGCGATCTCAGCTCACTACAGCCTCCACCTTCTGGGTTCAAGCAATTCTCCTGCCTCCACCTCCTGAGTAGCTGGGATTGCAATCAGGTGCCTGCCACCATGCCCAGCTAATTTTTGTATATTTAGTAGAGATGGGGTTTCACTATGTTGGCCAGGCTGGTCTTGAACTCCTGACCTCAGGTGATCCACTTGCCTTGACCTCCCAAAGGGCTGGAATTACAGGTGTGAGCCACTGTGCCTGGCCTGTTTTAACTTTTTGAGGAACAGTCAAATTGTTTTCATATTCCCACAATCAATGTATGAGGATTCTAATTTCTCCACCAATACTTGCTATTTTATTCTACTTTATAATAGCAATCCTAGTGGATATGAAATGATATCTCATTGTGGTTTTGATCTGCATTTTTTTTTTTGAGACTGAGTTTTGCTCTTGTTACCCAGGCTGGAGTGCAATGGCATGATCTCAGCTCACCACAACCTCCGCCTCCTGGGTTCAGGCAATTCTCCTGCCTCAGCCTCCTGAGTAGCTGGAATTACAGGCACGTGCTACCATGCCCAGCTAATTTTTTGTATTTTTAGTAGAGGCAGGGTTTCACCATGTTGACCAGGATGGTCTTGACTGCTTGACCTCATGATCCACCCACCTTGGCCTCCCAAAGTGCTGGGATTACAAGCTTCAGCCACCGCACCCGGCCTGATCTGCATTTTCTTAATGACTAATCCTGCTGAGCATCTTGTGTTTACTGAACATTTGTTTATCTTCCTTGGAGAAATGTTTGTTCAAGTATTTCGCCCATGTTTTAATTGGGTTGCATTTTTATTGTTTTATTGTAGGGGTTTTTCGTATATTTTGGATATTAGATCCTTAGCAGGTACATGATTTACAAATATTTCCTTCCATTCTATTGGTTGTTTTGTCACTCTCCTGTTAGTGTTCCTGGATGTACAAAACTTTAATTTTGATGAAGTCCAATTTGCCTGTTTTTTTCCTTCTGCTGTTCAAGCTTTTGAGTGTCATATCTAAGAAACCACTGCTAAATTCAAGCCATGAAAATTTACCATTATGTTTGTTTTCTGTCAAGAGTTTTAGACAGTTTTACCTCTTTTGTATAGGTCTTTGATACAATAGACTGGGAACTTTTAGGTGAAGTTTATTTTCTTGTTAATTATGTGGTGAATTTTCATTAAAACGGGAATGTTATTTTTTGGCTCCTTTCTAGTCATATCATTAAAAAATCAACAACAAAATGTGCAAGGCACAGCTACTGTTACTAGCAGTGCATGAGGAGATTATGTATATCCATCCTTATAAGCCAAGGAAAATAGTGTTCAATATCATGACACCAATGCACTTATTAATACTTCACACCCTTTCCTATACTCATCCTTCCTTCTGTTTTCCCAAAATCTTGAGTTGACCACACACTCATTACAAACTTTCACTCCCATCCCCAATTCCTTACCTTGGGACTGTTCTGGAAATGTCACCATTCTGACACTCTAATAAAACTAGATCAGAGAGCTCTTTTGGAACCTACTCCTCTTCTAGGGAAGCCTGAGGTGACCATCACAAAGGTTATATGGGAAAGTCTCAGTCGGGCCAGGGCTTGATGGTGACTTGGAAGAATTTCCTTTGGTGTTCATGGTGGGAATGAGTGGTCTGAATTGGAAAATGTACTGTCAAACCTACAAGCATTAATCACATCTTTTACCCTACTTCTAAGTCCCAACCATTTCCTACTGTGTAACATGCTGGCAGGGCAAATGCTGAATTGTCGGTGTGCTTTATTTTTACCGTAGAAAAACTTGACCTCATGTTCTCCTGGTGGAATCACCCAGATATAATAGCATACTAAAAAGAGTCTTCAAAGTAAACTTTAGGTTTGATTCCTTAAAGCTAAGGTTCCTTGAATACCACACTTTAATTTCTTTTGATGTTGTTTATATAAATGACAGGTTGCTTTTATAACTATCTCCCCTATAATTCTATAAATTTCAACTGTCCTACTCTGATAAGGAAATGCAGTGAGAGAGAAATGCAGGATAGATGCCCTATTAGATACTTCTCTCATCACTGGAGACAGAGACGTAGGATCTTTACACTAAGTCATCTTTACGGCAGCTCCAACCACAAGCCTGGATGGTCTGGACAGACATTCCCTACTAGGAAGACCATTTGTAAAGCCTAGGAGGTGGTAGAAGTAAAGCCAGAATGAGGGACCTCAGAAAGTCCTGGCCTTAAATTACAATATGGACAGTCTTTGGCAGAGGCACCTCTTGAGTCTTTTCAGAACACTGAGAAACGTTCTGGGGACTCAAGAAGGGTACCACATTGGTTTGAATCTCCAGGACCCCATTTAGATTAGAGTAAATCCATGGGGCTTATAGAAAATCTGAATGGGAAAGAACCTTGGAGCTCCTTTCAGGCCAAGTCAATGACTTTAACATATGGAGACACTGTGCCTCAGAGAAGTGAAGGGCTCTGTCCAAAAATCATTCTGGCAGCAAGGTGCAGTTGAGGCAGAATCTACTCACATTTCAACAGCAGCTCAGTGAGTTCTCTACTATCTCATGCTGCCTCCCTCAGCTCAATATCTAGAGCTGGCTCATGTTGAGGCAACTTGCATGCCCATAGTACGGAAATAAAAGAATGCAGATAGTATTGGGGTAAATTTCCTCCTCCTTTCCATGTGACAAATTCCTCAGCGCTTGATCATTGCCTCTCACTAGCTAATCTCCAACACCACACATGTAGGCCAAAGGCAGAAGAGAGGAGAGGGGAAGAAGAGAGACAAGGTCAAATCTACTACCCCTTCTGTGACATTAAAAAATAAGGAATAAAGGTTTGTGTCCTTAGAAGTAGGAGGATGGAATTCCACCTTATCTTTTCCAAACATACGGAAAGGGTAGGTAGGTAAATAGTGTAGATCCCCCAGGTTGGGGGATCTGGGGGAACTTTTACCTTCTTGAAGTCTTTCTCAAATCTGGTTTCAGCTGCAGTTGTGTGCTTAGTTTGATTGTATTTACATTTTGAAAACTTTCCATGTTTATGAACAAGATTAAAATATGCATGTAATTTACATCTCCAAATTCGTGTTTATATTTTTCACAATAAAGTAACTGCTTTCTTTGGAAAGGTACCCACTGAGAAGGAGGGCTGCACAATGCACATTTTAATTACTCTGTGTTTTTTGAGGGTTTGTAGCTGCTTCATGCTGACTTGCTGAGCTGTTGCTCCGTATTTACTCCGACTTTGACGAACCCACCTCATTTTCCTACCATTACATTTTGAAATCTGTCGTAACAGTCTCACCTCATTGAACCTCCAACTAAACCTCAATTAAAAGCTAGCAACCCCAGCTGATTCTCCTCCTCTACAGTGCTGCCTAACACGTGATTTCCC